ATACGTTTTCTTCCTTTTCGAGTTTTATTTCTCTCGTTAAGGTTCTAAAATTTCTTCTTCTAGCTTTACTGCCTCAGTACTTGCGAGTACTCTGGGCCCATAACCTGTTGTGATTTCTGGTTTTTACTTTTACTTCTTTTTGTTAGAAAAATGGAAAATTAACTTTTGTTAATCATTTATTTATAATTATTATTATTTTTTTACATAGCAACTGTTCCAATATAAAATTAACACTCTTATTAAAATTTCATTTCCATCAACAACTCATTAACAACACCAACCTTCACTGCGTGTAATGGTGTTTCTTCAAAAGGGTAAGTATTTTCTATACACCAAATTCTGAAGTTCTGTGAGTTGACATAGCCTGACAGATGAAACCAGGCTTCATCAGAAAAGAACGACAAATCGAGAATCCTGTTATGGTCCATATTAGCTTGAAACCAACGACAATACCCAACGCGGGGAGGAAAATCAGCTGGTTGCAGCTCCTGAACCAACGAAATCTTATATGGATGCATATGTAACTTCTCTTTTACGATTTTCTTTCACGTGCTGTATGGTACTCCGGACTGTAGAGTTTTGACAAAGCTTTATTCAGACTTTGTTCCATTCTCATCCTTAAATCTTCAACAACACTAACTTGAGGTCTCCCCGTCGGTTTTCACTTAGAAACGCTACCAGTGTTGTTAAATCTGGCCACAATTCGCCGCTAAAGCGTCTTCAAAGATTCTTCCTCAATGACAACAGGACATTTCCCCAGATACTCGTTTTTAGACGCCTTCACAGAGTACACTCCATCCCCATCCTCATTTAACACCCCATTACGGTAATAGGACATGACGATTGCTCCAAAGAACTAAAAAATTCATTTGTAACACTGACTATAGTTATTCCTCTGTGTTCATTACCTGAGATTATTCCACAATGATCTGTAGTTTTGATAAAAACTGTTTTTTGAGACACTTATTAAAGTTCGAACAAAGGGGAAGACAGCAAAAATGAAAACAAGACAAGTCAATTAACGCACAAAGTGTGGGAAAACGTACCAGTAATTAGTACAAACGAAAAAATTATTGACATCTGACAGAATTTGATGAAGCGTTGAAACAGTGCAGCCGCTAATGTCATACTAATGTGGCGTTTAAAATAAAAATTCCAATATTAGTGTAATCCTTTCCACAAAACTGAAAAAGGCGACACACAATGTCACCAAAGTCATGGCCTTCCTTGACTACAATATTTTATAATGACCCTGTATAAATTGATTCAAAATTTCGGTAACAGAATTTTGTCTTAAAAGTGCCTACGTTTGCGTGTGTCGCGTTAGTGCTTTGTGCTTGTCATAATTTGATTTCGGTAATCGTTATTTAAGATTACGAGTAAATCGGAATTTTTCTCTACTAACGTTAAATGACAATGGCAGTTCTGTTTTTTCAACTCGCACGTATGATGATAAATTGTATGTAGTTAAGGAATTAAAACGGCCAGTTCCAGATTTGAGTAATTCGTTAATTGATGTATAAAAAAATTTAAAATAAATCCAGAGTATTTATATTTTATATTTTTTTCGTTTTGTTTTTTGTTATAAATCAAATTAGATTTATTTTATGTTGTATTTGATTTTTTTCTGTATGTTTTCTTTAAAGTTTATTTTAATTTTGTTTTTTGTTAGAAGTTATATTAGTTTTTTCTGACCACGTTTCCCTTTCCTTTTGTTCTATCACTCTCATCCTTTCCTTGCAAGAGTTCCTTACACCTTCACGTTGGTTCTTGGTGGACAGTTAAATATTGGTATGATCCCAAACTGTTTAGAGAAGAAAGGGAGGCTGTGGTGTGCGCACGTAAACTTGTCCTATTTCTTTCCAATACATTAGCTCTATATATTAGCTCACTGTCTATCATCTCCGACGTGCGCTTATCATATACTCCTTTTATCTAAAAAGTATGCAGTATTTCCCGCGCAAACCAGATCTCTAGATTGGCCTCGTGATTTGTCACGTATTTTTAAATAACATACAGTTTTCTAAATTTGCTGAAGTACTACTAAACTACAAAAATAAATAAACGGGTAAATTATATTCTCAAATTATAACTCGGAATTAAACATGCAATGTGAAAAGTTAATGCCGTGAACCCTACTAAGTATAAATTAAACGTCATTGTTTGCTAACTACATAATTGATTAAACTTATTATTTTAATAAGGTAAGGTATTAAACTAGACAGAGATTTGAATACTTTTTTTTACTAATTTTAATAATTCTTGTAAATGAGTAGATATTTAATAATAAAGTAATACATATTATTATACGCAAAAAATGTATTTGCATGCTTTTGCATAAACTTCCTGCACTTATAATTTATGAACATTATTTTGGACGATGCCCAATTAATTGATAAATAATAATATGTTGATGTAAAAAGAGTATCATTACATTACTTCAAATTCTTTTAACTTTCTTTATGTAGTATATCCTGTTTCCAAAATCTCAAGAAATTAGGGTTATGGTAATTCAATTCAATCTGGGTGCTTAGGGTAAAAACCAGAGATTTCTTAGTAACCTAGATACGGCTATGGGCAGCAAAGAGTGGAACAACATGTATGAAAATAGTGTCGACATATTTTTAGTTCTCTGTCTTTCTCTTACTCGTTGTAATGTGCACTACATACTAGTGTTATCTTCGTCTAATTCTAGCGACTGTTAACATTGGTTGATAATTTGGCGCACTGATTTAAAATGGTATAAATGAGAATCATAACTCGAGTTTTTTAACAAGTGGCAAACGAAAAGTTTCTAAGCAATCTCCAAAATGATTTGTAATGTTAAGATTAAAATATTACACGGACAAGATCGTTGGAATAAATTTGACTGTCGACTTCCCTTTTTTCGTACTTTTTCTTTATCATTCACACCGGCGAAACTCTTGAAAAATGACATAATACAATTTTCTTAGAGTCAAAAGTTTTTGTTGCCACGAACGTTTCTAACATAAATAGAGAATCGTATTGTATTTATTTGCATGCACAATGTTGAGAGCTTAAAACGAAAAAGCAAAAAGACGTACAGCTGTGGTATAAATTTATTAACATTATTATTAAATATTGGTGATTTAATGTAATCTTAGTTACTCATTATTAAATAAAATGTATTTTACTAATTTACTTCTTATTTTCGCCTGTTTTGAAGCAAAATTTACCAGTTTTGCTTCGTGTTGCAAGCGGACTTTTAAATTAATAATTTTAAATTTGCGCTATTGCCTTCATCAATTGTATTTTGTGATTACAGTGATTTTCTCAGTGATTATCTAGTAATCCCTGAGAAATGCACTGATTGTTCATGTCGGGATTATTAAAAATCTTTGTAATATTTTTGCGAAACAAAAGAATTATTAGATCTTTCTTTGCATGCAATACATACTCTGTAACCCATTTTTAGAAATTCTATGCAGTTTAAACTTATAACCGTAATATAAATCTTATAACCTAAGAAATCTCTTAGAACAAACTAACAAGCACACAAACACCGGCCATTGTATGAATTAAGAACCGACTTGCGCTAGCAGAATTTAAGGGTTTACTGCGCAAAATCGTAAATTGCTAGGTTTAAACAAAGACCTAGAAAATCATACTCCTGCGTTCCCATGCTGTAAAAGAAGATGGAAAGCAAAACGCATAGTGTACATGTTGGCCAAGAACGTATGTTCGCTTTTGCATAGGATCACCGTATCTAGGTTACTAAGAAATCTCTGGTAAAAACTTAATAAACAACAAATGAAGAAGTATGTTATTTTTTAAAATTTATATAACATTTATTGCTGTAAAAGTTGGAGATGACGTTATATGATGGGGAGGATGATTACAAATGTTGGTCAGCGTTTTATCAACCGGAAACGAGAGACCTATGTTTTCGTATTATAGGAGTCATGAAACGTTGAGAAGCCATAAAAGTAGCCAGTCGCCCGATGAACCTGATTACAATACTTCCTTAGCTTGCGCTCGAGACATAAATAAAATAAACAATAACATTTGGATTTAATAGCTTTTGATATCTGGTATACCTAAACAGTGAGTGAATTTTATGCGGCTATTATTACCATTACATATAACCATCCACTTAAATAAATTGGTAAAAAAATTTACCCATAAATAAGTTATTGTAAAGTTATTTTTATTTACACGCGTATAATTGCACAACAATAATTGTTAGACAAATAGAATGATAAAGAAAGGCAATATGTCATATTAAAAAACAAATTACTCGTTTCGATGTAAGGTACCTTATATAAGTTAACAACATCATCTATTTAGTTATTATAGGTAAAATTCTAATACGGAATTTATTCTTGAAGTAAGTCGTAAATTGTAAATAGCTATAAATTCGGAAATAATTCTTTTTAAAAGATATAAGTCAAAAATGTATTAGGCATGATTGTCAAAAAACATTCCAATTCTGTTTCAAATTTGCAAGCATTTTATGCCAAAAGCTGATTTTTGTAAACGTTCCAGTAATAAATTCCGAAGCAAAATCCACCTAAACAGATTTTGCTTCGAAATTTTAATTTTCATATTACTTTTACAACATTTTAATTTAAAAAATTAAAAATGTATCTATTATTTGTGATTATTGATGTAGAAATATCGTTTCTAGAAATAAGAATACTATAAAAAATTGTGAACTCTTTGACTGGTATGCAGCGTTATAAACCTTGTTCACTAAAACTTTAGAGAAAATAAGTTCAATCATTTCCGAGAAATCATTAAATAAAAATGTTACTGTTAAGTAAAAAATTAAATTATTTGTTTAACGAGCAACAAATCTATTTAAAATTTAAATTTGTAAAATTTCGAATCTAATATGTAATTTGAAAATATTTGTAACATCTATAACAGAAAAAGAGTTGCACAAATTACAGTTGCTTTTTTTTAATTTCAGATTCATCAAAATTGTTAAGTCTCTTTTTTATTTATTTCACATTATTCTTATTGTTCTGCGCGTGAAGTTGAATACGATTTCTTTCCCAACCCCAAACCTAACGCTGAAAAGCAAAACAGCAAGGAAGTACGTAAAAACGGATAACGGTACTGTATCGATTTCTGCTTGGACATGCGGCAAATCAGCACTGAATCTAAACTATGTTTCGCTTCGCCCAAGTGCGACATGCGGCAAATCTGCACCACACAGTAGAGTCGAAAATCCCTCGGACGCGATCTGGATATGCGGCAAACCAGTTCTAAGGTGACGAAATGAGTTTACAAATTTGTTTATTTGACTAAGTAGAAAATATTTAAGTAATCTTGCATTATTTATATTTTGGAGCGTTTTGTGTTTGCCTCATCAACTTTTCAAGTCATGAGCCGCCCCTCCGTTGTACTATTGGTTATTAATTGTGTATACCCTAAAATTAACACAAATATAAATTAAAATGGGAAATTCTATACCGCAGCGCTTCGAAAAATGCTTATTGATTTTGAATTGTCTAACTCTAAGGTTGGTTGTTTAATATAAATCCGATAATTGGCAGGTACACTTCAAAATCAAACACGAACCAACAATTACTGGGGTTATTAATTTAGTGATTCATAAAAGCTATTTACAGAGGAAGTACTCCCACAGAGTTAGGAATTGCTATTAAAAATATTAATTATTATTGTTTTTAGTGGGTTTGGTATTATCGGAGTTATTGTTTTATGAGTGAATTCGGGCAACTGATGATGTAGTAAAACAAATATTGAATACATTTTTTTTTGACGAAACATGTTTTACAAGTATGCGTAGGTATTTTCTCGTTATTTTTATTTTACCGGTCCTAATAACAGAATTATGAAATGTTTGGTGTTAAAACCACACCCCAATTGGAGATCGGTATTGCGTCCGGGTTTTCTCCCACCGCTCGTGCTCTCTCCCCGCTATCGCTTGACTCTGGCCGTTGTACTCCCTGTACCGCGCCCAACCGTAACCGTTCCCGGTACCACCGCTTGCTCTCCCTTAATCGTAGTTGCAACTCGGCCCTGTCACCTTGTTGTCCCTCCGTTAGGGCCGAAATCCGCTGAACCCGGCCGGATAAGTGCCACAAAAGCGCCTCGACACGGTTAATCAAGTCGTTCGTTAACCTGGCTTCCCGGAGTAATTGCCTCAATCGGTGCTCCTTGAGGCTACACGTCTGCAACTCTCTACCACATTCACGCTGCCCACATTCCTCCAACTCTACCCCTTGTCTCTCTACAATCATCCGCTCCCTCAGGAACTCACACAACTCGTCCGTCGAGTCTAGATCGCTCGCTATTGCCCCCCTGAGCTGTAGCTCATAAATAATCTCGTCCCTCTCCAGGTATTCCACCATTACGCTATCATTATCCATCTTACCAACAACACAATTTTTTTTCCAACCTCAGCCAAGTTTTCGCCTCTCCTTCTCTCCCCGATAGTCGCCCTGGTTCCTCAATCTATTACGTCGCTCCTACCTCTCAGGTCTCTCCAGCTCCCGCCTCGTCTTCACCGCTAGAGATCGATCCTCACGTTCCAGATTTCCCCTCCATACTATAACCACAAGTACAACAACAGATACCCGATCCTATCTCCTCCAGCTCCACGTTAGGTCGGATTTTCCTAGATCCCGGTTGAGCCCCCAAAATGTTACGACACCCTTTGTGCCGACCGACCTATGCGCTGGTGGAGATGGGGTATACAAAAAAGACGGTAACTTACTTAAATCTAATGAAACAGGAAATACACTGGACGCGACACAGCGCCCTTCAAATCACAGATTAATTACCAAACTACACCTTAGGACCTTAGCTTAACATGTACACAGTGGGTCGCACACAGCGCCCTTTCCGATACGAATTACCACCATACAGGTTGCTTCCTCCCTCCTTTGTAGGCTAGTCCTGCGGGAGGATTCGTGGGGGGGAAAAATCTGGCACGGCGGTTTCTCTTGTTTTCGTGACGCCCCTTTGTCGGCTCAGTGGGACGAGTCGGGAGGTTTGGAGGCCTGAGGAATTCTTACGGTCTCCCCAATGGGGTTTTTCGTTCTTCTTCCAAAAGAAATTAGTAACACGCCACGTCGAGGAGGAAAAAAAGTTGTAGAAAAAAACAGAAAAGAAACCGAAAACTTGGCTGTCTCTGTGCAAAGGAAAACCTGGTTTATACGGGATCTCGCAAGGGTGACTTACTTACGGTTCTATCGCTCACTCACTCGCACCCCCTGTGTAACTTTTCCGGGCTGTCGCTCCCCCAAAAGTTACAACCCCTTATTTTGTGCGTCCGCTGCCGACCGTTACTCGATTTCTGTTTTAACACGATCCCGTCGGACGAGTTGCGGAAATTCCCGATTAGGCGACCAATCGCGCTTTCCCTGCTCAAAACGCCACTCGTTCACCGCAGTCTCTCACTTGCGCCTGACTCGCTGTTATCTAGGCAACCCCTTATTTTCGAACCGTAACAGTACATATTATTTTTGTTTTTTTAAATACTTTGCCCACTTGTCCTTTTTTAGCTAGATTTCTCCTTTTGTTTCTTCATCCCACTGCGTGATTTATTTATCATTTTTGTCAACAGTGTTATTCCACCAATTTTCTGTCCCCTTTTTAGTATTTCTTTTTGGAATAGAATTTGTAAGACTTCTTATGTATATCTTTCTAATTTTATTTTATTGTTTTCTAAAAGATAATTTCGTATATCTTTCTGTAATCTATTTTTTGAGCTTATCTTTATTACATAATGATCTAAAATACGTAGTTCATCTCTTCTTCCAAAGTTAGCGTATTCTCTTACAATTTTCAGGTTATCGTGAATTTTAAGTGCCATCTGATATTTTTCAGAATCCAGTTTTTGAGACACAAAAATAAAGGTCTATTCGATCAAAAACGATTTCGCCACTCGTTTTGTCTCTTCAGGTTTTAAACCTCACTTTAGTAATTTGCATTTGTCTGAAACAACTATATTCTCATGACTGTGTTAGCTAGTATTAAAAATATAAATTTTCCAAAGTATGTTTTTTTAATAAAACGCTGAAATCTTGTTCCCATAATGTGTGCTACAATTTTCCTGGCCTAGCAGACACGTGTTATAAGCTCGAGGAACTCATTTCGAATAAAAATGCTCCATTAATCGCTGACAATACCAAGAATCGGAACGATCAAACGATTGTATGAAGATAATTATTATAACAAAACTTGATAACTCTTATATAAGTCATTATTTATCAGACAATGAAATAAATTGCTTTCAAGTCTATACAGACTTGGAAGAAATTGGTTCCACGAACAATACGCCCGTAAATTATTTGTTTCAGCAAACCCTCTTCTGCTGATAAACTATTTACTCAATGAAACGAGGTCATGATACAAGCAGGTCTCCAGTTTACTTTACAATTATCAAAATACCCGACTTCTGTGCAGGAAAATCACTCGAAAATTTTAACCAGCATAGTCTGCTTGACATTTCCGGGAAGAGTAAATACGTGAAAATAAGAGATTTTTTGCTTTTAATGAACTTTATGTATTTTTTAACGATGGAACTTGGTGAGAAAGAGATGTTTTAGAGAGGACGTAAAAGGGTTAAAAGGCTCCAAGCAACAACATTTGAACAGTCAGACTGGGTAAGAATATGCGCAGGGTAGCTTAAATACAAAATATTCCAGCTACCACAGAACACATAAAAAAAAACAAAGGCTATAAAGTACGACGTACTCTAGGCCAGAATTCTTCTAACAGACGTTTCCTTCTGCAGCGCAATTATCTACTTTTACCCAAAAGCAGGATTTGCGCTCCTGCAGCGACCCCTATTATTATGAAAATATTTTCCCCCGAAAAATATGGCCTTCGATTTTGTTGTCGAGAGCCTGATCCCGGCAAGATTGACCCCAACAAACCTAAATCAATCATGTACAAAAGCACGTCGAACGATTTCTACATAGTTCCCAACTCGGCGGGTGGCTGGGATTCCTCCCCTTCTTGGAACGCCTGTAACATTATCCACGTCGTCAAAGATATCTGATTACCTACGATATACTCCCTGCCGTTAATTTACTCACCCTCTAGGTTAGGTCCTCCTTAGTTGCTATTCCGCACACTGCTTTTTGCTGTGATATGCATTAAGCGAAATTAATTTCAGTTGACATGTTCCGATTGTATCGTACTTTGTTGTCATGTTATCAGAATATTAAATCCATTTGTTACGTTTCTTGTGAATTAATCAAATGTGTTTATTAAATGGTAGGGTAGTCTTGCTCTCACACTCTACATAATTACCTTGAAACGGAGCGAATTAGCCGGGGAATTCTTTGCTTGTTTTCAATGCTGGGCTTTTCTAGCAAGAGACAATGGCGTTTTGTTTTATTTTCTCTTTCGGGGTTTGCTTGTTTGAGCTGGAGGTCAACGGGGGTGGGTGTAAATATTTGCTGTGAGAATTGGGAGAGGCACGAGCTGATTGATTCTGTATTTGTAGTGATAGGTTTTTACTATTTCATTACGTATGATAAATACGATCTTTTCCAACGAATAGTCATTCGTTCCTGTTTAATTCGTTTCGTTGCAATTTGTTGCTCTGCTCGTTAAAGTTAATTAAATTAGTTCTAGTATAACAACATATATTAATTATTTACTGAAGCTTAGTAATTTAATTTTATTGGGTACGTATTAATTAACACGCATTTTGTTCACTCGAGTTGTTTTTGTGATTATAGTGTTACATAATATGTTCACATTTGTATTTGGTTTTGGTATTATAAACGCTCATCGAATTATTCTGGGAATTAATTTTGGATAATTATTTCAAACAAATTATACAGTTTTGACAATAGTGAAACCCGACAAGCTTAAAAACTAACTATTCGTACAATAATTAACTTAATTATAACTTGTTCAAATTATCTTGAAAAAAATTATTTCAAAAAATCCGTATGTCAAAACAGACAACATTACACGCTGGTTCGGCAATTATTATTATAGTAGAAGGTTAGATGTACTTACCGTTCGTAATATTTTCTATATTATGATATTAAATGAAATGTTTGTTTTTTCAGAATCCCACGGAACATCTCCAGAAGGTAAGTTTAATGGTATAGGAAAATATAAAATATGGATTCTATATTTGCGGCGTCTTATGGCAAATTTTGAGAACACAGTGTGTTCACTTTGTAGATTTTTTTCGCTAAAATCTAATCTCTATAATACAAATATTCTGAAATTCATACTATTTCATTCTCAGTTTGGAAAGATCATTCATGCTGCAAGTCTCATATTCTTTTAATCCCAACACTTGAAAACCTCTTGCTGTTTTATTCCGATGATGGCAGCTGTTTCAAAACTAGTTAGGTATATTTGCTTAGACATAATTTTTAATATTTTGACAACAATTTGAATAAAACTATTTACGTACTATGCTCTGTTGTTGGTGACAAATTTATTTATTTTTATTTTTAGTTTTAAGTTTGTTTCACACAAAACATAACTTCTTTCGCTTTTACACGTCAAATTTTTTTGCAACAGTCTTCTTCAATTTCACACTTTGTCTTCTCACAATTTCAGTCGAAATTGTTTTTTCGGCACTTGGTTTCGGTAATGTTTAATATTTCCTTGAAACGAAACAACTTTAGTGTATTAGTCCACGAAAGTTCTGTGTATACTACTTTTAAAAACAGTCGTTTATTAATTATATCAGACTTTTCTTATGGATTGGAGAACCTAATTACATGTGATGTAGTTAAGTAAACTAAACCTAACCTCCTGAGTTTCTACAATCAAGGCAGATCAGACCAGGTCACATTTTCATAATCTTTTGAGTCTGTAAGGTCAGGTGAAGTCAGAACAGGTCAGACCAAGTCAGGTCAGGTTTATAACTCTCTGAGTTTCCAAGATCATCAGGTTAGGGAGGACAGGTGAAGTTTTTATGACCCCCAAAGTTTCTAAGATCGAGTGAGGTTTTCATATTCTCTCTTTAAATTTCTAAAACAAAGTTAGGTAGTCAGGTCACATCAGGTTAGGTCAGGTCATCTTCTCATGTCCCTTTCCCTTATTACTTTTGTTTTAGGAATTACGTTCGTGGCTAAACTGTTTTTTAATCTGCACTCATGTTTGTGCCAATTTCTTTTCTTTCACTTTTGTTGCAGTTTATCGATCTCCCTACCTTTTTTTGGTACTTCAACTTTTCCAATTCTTTCTTCTGAGGTATTTTTCCTTTGGTGCTTCCTCGTCTTTCAAACGCTTAAAACGTGTTCTTAGTGTTACTCATGAAACTGCGTTCTTTATTCCACACTTCTATTGTCTTGTTCCTCTTTTTTGTATTTCTTCATCTATAGTAACAGCTGCAATTACATCCTGTGACGAAATTTTTCGCTGAGGACATTCACTTATAGCTCGTAGAAACATCTTACACCATTTTTCCAAAATTTTTAAATGTCCTGTAACCACACCCGGAAATTCTAAATAAATCGAATTTAAGTTTATCGTTAACAAACAGTAGGCGTAATGAACTATGAAATAATGAAGCTACACCACTGCTGTAGGTATGAAATATATATCAAAGACCCCAATAGTTTTCCTTGAGGCGCACCATATAAGTTAGTGTGGATTGTGAACATTTTGATGAAATTTACACTACATTCAACATTGGAACAATTCATGTATTGTATGTTTGTGTTTCAAAAACTGAATTGACGCTTTTTACTTGTCATTTCTACACATATATATATAGATATAACACATGTGTATTTGTGATAATTGTCTTTCGCTTTAGGCCTAACGTCTTCATTGTCTTCACATGGTTCAGTAGATTCTAGTTAGCTATTAATTACTGCTGTCTATCATTCTGTTCATCATTCATATTGTCGTTATTGAAGACGTATATCCATTTTCGTCCATCTCTTATAAAAAATGTGTCTCTTTTCACATTTATTTATGATTTATAAGTTGTCAAGTTGAACTGGTGTCCATTTTTGAAGATTAAGAAATAAAAAATTCAAAGTCCATCAGACGAAATAAAACTGTTTTTCCGTGCCCTACTGGTTTTGATATCTTATTACTTATCAGGTTTCATCATTAGGAAAAGAAACCTACTAAACTGGAATTGACAAAGTACCCCCTTTAAATAAGTAAATGACCCTGAGAAAGCAAATCTGCAAGAGAAATGAAAAAGTAAATACTATTGTTCCTTTGTTTACATTTGGTTATTTCTTTGATTTTCTTCAAAAACTAAAAGTAAATATAATACTTCTACTTATTTTAAGGAACTTGAAGTATCATAAAAGCGTCTTGTTTTTCGCTAGAAAATATTTCTTTGGTAAATTATCTTCAGAATGAGGTGCAAATTATCATTATTATTAATGACAAATAAAGGGCTGAGGACAAGCCCTGTTATGCCCATAGAACTGTATATTGCACAGTATTTTAACAAATTATAAGGAACAGATTTCGATTTAAAAATATTAACATTAGGACTTTGGACGACTTCCTCCAGTAGCTTGTTACAAGTGTCGAACACTCTATTATTTAGGAAATGTTGCCTTACAGTTGTGTGAAAGTTCTCTTTTTCCAGTTTGAAGCTATGACTTCTAGTTCTGGAACATGAGCATAAGGTGAATAAATTCTGCATCAATGGATTCTCGAGCCTTAACGATTTGAAGGTGAAAATTACATCTCCTCTAATTCTTCTGTCTTTCAATGTGGGTCGCAACATTATGATAAAACGCTCAGAATAAAACAGTTTGAATGGGTAATTACCATATAAAAGACAAGTCATTCTTTGTTGTACTGACTCCAAACGATTTTGATCTCCAATTAGCACAGGGCATCAAACGGTATTTGCAAACTTCAGTACTGGTCATACCAAATTTTTATACAACTTTAACGTGATACTTACACTCGATCTTATCAAAGTTCTTTGTAGTAAGTACCCTAGGTTTTTTAATGACACTCACGATGTGATTACTTCATGTTAATTCTGAGTTTACTATTACATCTATATCCAATTGCGTATTAGTACTGGTTAATACATATGTAGACGTTTTGAAAAATTCATAGTAGTAAACAACTAGACGATAGTAAAATAACCAAAAACAAGGAATCGATGCACGAAAAGATAAAAAGAACGCAGGCCAAAAATTAAAGGAATCATGAGAGATGGGAGAAGAATAACATATTAGATAAGAAACGTAGATGTAGAGGTGTAAATGTAAGGCAAACAGGAATGGTAGTGGGAATCTTGCAGGATAATTAAACAATAACCTTTTGTAATTTTTTTAATGTAGCGTTTCCATATTAAAATAAAATACTCCTATATGGGTATATTAATAAACCGCATATACGAGAGATGTATAGTATTTTATAGTTTTAAAACAGGATCTTCTTAGCAAAGTTCTGAGATGAGGCCATCCAAATTTTGGTGAAAATTGATAGACCACTTTCGATTAGCAGTTTATCAAGCTGATGGCGCTAAATTTTTTAGCACTTTCTAAAACATTTACCGAGTGAACTCTCCTAACTTTAACTTCCTAAATACAATTCTCAGATTTACGTAGATTTCAACACAACACGCATATTCTATAAGAGAGAGCTCTATCGGAAGGTTGTTCAATAATTGATGGCCTAAATGACTCTAACAAGTCGATAACTTTTATTGTATACATATGTAGTTTCTTCATTCTACATTCTAACCAGACGTACTAGAGACAGAGTGATAACAGACTAGAATTCCACTAGAAAATATAATTATGAACCTTCCCGTCAAAAGAAAAACTACAGAAAATTTAAATAGCATGACCCGGTAATGAACACCATAATTAAGGGAAATGATTGGAAATGCAGGTAGAACCAATAACAGATTTCAGGCGGATTTTACTAGAAATAATTGCATTTTTCGCTAGGACAGAAATTTATCTGCACAGAATAATATAAAAAATAGATTATCAGTTGGGTAAGTTTTAATACCAAAAGCATCAATTCTGGATGATGGATTACCAAGAATTATGAAGTGTAAAGTTATAGAGAGCTTAATTAGGTTTTAGCTAAAACTGACATATCTCTCTAGATCTAGGTGGTTTCCTGTAACGAACGTACCAACTGTGGCCCTGAAACTTTCCACCTTTTTCAAAAACGAAACTTTCAATCAATTCCATCTCTAAAACAATTCCGATGAAAACCTGCATCGACCTGTGCGAAGTTTTTTCATAAATCACCATCCGTGGTCTTGCAGAGCTAGAAAACTAGCGCAATTCATTAAATTTAGCAAATCCCGAGCTGGCGTGTGAATAAAGTGGGTGGTGTATTAATAGGGCCGCGTCCCAGCTAATGAATGGCGTTATTCTACCAAACTTTATTATACCTGACCGACGGGATTATTTACTACAATACATAGAGCCGAAACTTAAGCTCAGCAATTTATCAGAACGATACACAAAATAAGCACGTTGCGCTAGATTTATATTGTGAAACGTCAGCTTGCGATAATTACCATGTTGTATTCGCCACAAATCTACCTTAAACATTGGGTCAATGTGACTGAATGGCCGACGGAAGATACCAAGCATGGCGGATTTATGGCCGTATATCCTTCCTTCGGAATGATATCGCGTGCAGAATCGCATTATTCGCTATTTGCAGTGTGTGTTTACACGAGTGTCAGATAGTGCGTAATCAACTGACAGACTAATTGTGCAGCCCCTCCCCTGCGAGGGGGTGAGAGGCCGCCATGAAAGGAAGCCCATAAGTTGTATTTGCTCAAATTATAGCCAGCATTTGCTCGGGCGAGGTCGGCCCGGATAAATCGCACTCGTAAATCTCGCACTTTTTTAATGGGAACCTCATTCTTACATTCTAATCAAGGCAATGATACGCCCAGAAGAAACTTACTCGGGGAAAAGTTTCGGCGGGTATTGATGAAGGGGAACGCTGCGAGGAGGAGTCATTTTTGAACGCATTGTTATCTGAAACCCTACGAGGGTTACGCAATTAGAAATGGCAGAAGGTACGTAAGGACCATTTATACACCAATAAGGGGGTTAATCATCGATGCCTTATTATTGGTAGTCAGTTATTCTTATCGACGGACTAA